AGCCCTGCCCGAACGACGATAGCTAGAGAGCCGAGACTTGCATAATTTTGTAGAGTAACGTCCGAACTATCTACGCATGCAAAAAAATTACTAACATTGTATGTTAGTTTTCTGAGAACGGAGCTGGTTTTCCAAAGATCCTCTGGAAACCCGATCTCTGGAATTTTTTCAAAAGTTGCTTCTGCTTGTAGAAAGTTCTGTTCAAGTCTCGGCTATTGAACAGCGAAAATCGCAGGTCTCTGTCTCATTCCTATCAAAAGTTATTCAAAAAATGCCCACCGGCACTGTATTTTGGGATGGATAGTAATACAGAGACGGACATGAGTCACTTATTGAATCCGAGCCCGATCCAATCCAAGATAATTTTCAAATGATTTTCTCATTATCAATAAATTGATTGTCTTTGGAAAAACAAATTCCTTCCCCAGTCACTCTTCATTTGATAAAATTCAATTCGATCTTTTAATTTATTTTTCATCAGAAAATACACAAACAAACAAGTGTCAATATTCATATCTTAAACAATTTTATTACTACAATACCAGTATCAACATTTTATATCAAAAACAAGAATAATCGTTAAGATTTACTTCAAGGAGAATTTTTAAAGACATTTTTCTTCTATATGCGAAACTGTTGTATTCTAAAGTAATTAAACGATCAATTGTTTTTGTCTTGCTTTTCATTTTTAGTTTTCTCATTCAATCAACCAAAATTTTGTCCAACCGCAGCTTGGAATCCATTCGGAATCACTTTTGCTAATCAAACAACAATTGGAGACGAACCTGGCCCCATTTTCATCAATACAAACAATACAATTTATATTCAACATGTAGGAAAACGCCAACTTTCAGTGTATCATGAAGGTCATATCAATCCAACAAAGACCATTCCTATCAATATTTCGACTGCAGGTTCCATTTTCGTTACAACTAATGATGATATTTATATTGATAATGATGAAGTTGTTCTTAAATGCATATCAAATAGAAACACATTTGACACTGTTATGAAGGGTAAATCACGATGTTCTGGTTTGTTTGTCGATATCAACGATACTCTGTACTGTTCAATGTTTGATCTTCATCAAGTTGTGAAAAGATGGATGAATGATTCTGCTATGACACCGACTATCGTAGCTGGGACAAATAGATCAGGATCTGCTCTGAATGAGCTCAATAGTCCTTTTGAAATCTTTGTTGATGTGAACTTTGATTTATATGTGGCAGATTGTCTAAATAATCGAGTTCAATTGTTTCAATTAGGACAATCAATTGGCATCACAGTAGCTGGAAATGGATCACCAAATCCCACAATTTCACTTTCATGTCCAACTGTAATTGTATTAGCTGCTCAGAAATATTTATTCATTGCGGATGATGGGAATCATCGTATTGTTGGATGAGGACCAAATGGTTTTCGATGTTTAGTTGGATGTCATGGACATGGTTCAGAATCCCATCAATTGTGGTACCCGTTAGGTCTTAATTTCGATCGTTCGGGTAACATGTTTGTAACTGATTCGGGGAATGTTCGAATTCAAGAATATTTGTTGAAAAAATCTTGTGATAAGTTGAAAATAGTTGAATAAGTTGATAAATAAGATAAAGCTTTGTTTGAGAAAAGTAAATTTTAAAGAAAAGAACAAATTCTTGATTAGATTTCTGTTTGGATGAATTTTTTGATAAATAAATAAGATAAAAAGTCTTGAATATGAAATAATTGAATAAAAGAAAATAAATAAATAAATATGTGAAGATTGAATGAGCAATGAAATATTTCGATTGATCATAAATATTTTGGAAGAAGATTATTTAAAAGTTTCAGTACTTTTGCAACAGTAAAATTGATTCGTGGTGAGGAAGCTCTTTTGATAATAATTAATTTATAAGAATCGATAAAACCATCTAAAAGATTTTATATTGTGATCAATCTATAAATATTTTGTGATTTTCTAATTTCAATTCAGTTGTGGAGACTTATGACAATGTGGAGTTGACAATGAATCGAGCAAGAACTGAGTTATTTATGTGAATTTTATCCAAATAGAATACTTTTTCATTCGAATTTGGTAATGTTTCAGGGTGGCGATGTGAAAATCTAGTTGAGAGGTAGGTTTGGTTCTGAACGTGTCAAGTGAAGATGGAATTAATCGAACCTATCAAAAGAGGAGGAGATCCTTCCTCAAGAATCAACATTCTTCCTCAACCAAGGAGATTTTCGTAAGCTCTTTTCGTCATTAACGTAAGGATAAAACAGTGTGTCGTTTGCGTCGATCAGAGAGTTTTTTGAGGGATCCTCTACCATATGTATACAATTAATCCGTCCAAGTAATAATTACTACTTTTATCACGCACGTGTAATGATTTGTTATGAAGCTTCATGTTTGGACCCAAAACAAGAACCAGTGCTTGGTCTGTTATATTGTAGAGTTCTACAACGACAATCCTGTGTCATATGGGATGTGTTGATTCCCGGTTGTATGACCTATTTAGGGTTCATTTGCTGTCTTACGGATATACCTCGGATAGGATAGCATAGAAATCATGGCTTTAATGCCGGACAAAGAGAAGTTGGGTAAGCCCTGTTTATACAGGATTTTGTTCAGTTTTGCATGCTGTTTCTGCTACACATCCTTAGAATAATAAATTTATGCACTTAGGCGAACCGGAATTTTGGTAATTGATGCTGAATGTCGATGTGTATGTTATCAGAAACAATGATCCAATTTCCCGACTTTTATTCGATTTTTCACTTAAAAATGCTTTAAAACGTGATGAACTTGAATTTTCTATCCATCCTGACGAATAGAGATGGATAAAGAGGCCAGTGAATCCCCGTACGTCCACTTTCTCCAGAATTTAATGACGCATTTTTCTGCCATAGCACTTTTTTATTCTGTTGGAGTTCTGAAATCGTAGGCAACGTTTTAAAAAATAACTTTTTAATAGAAAAATGCACGTTAGTGAAAAAAATACATTTCATTCTGCATGTACCCATTCACTCATTGAGACTAAAATAGATTGATGTTCTCTATCGAACTGCACAAAAGTTGCGTGATTGCTTTTAATGTTGAACTTTTTTTAATTTCTAAAAATACTCATTAAATCGAATATAGAAGTTGTAAAAGCCATAACTCTGTAAAAACGTGTCTGTTCACCGAAAACATTTCAGGATGAATGAAGCTTTACCTCAAAAAGATTATCATGATAGAGTAGGGTATACCCACCCTTAATTGAACTTTTCTTCACAAAAAAATGCCTTATTCATGAAAAAAGAGATAGAAATAGTTACCGGTGCCTCTTCTTTCCGTATTTTAACCATTTTGCGTTACTTTTCTTTTAATATTACAAAAAAAGTTACGAAACAACATTTACTGTTTCGTCTATTTGGTAGAGAATTATTTGCTGTGGCAAATGCATTTATTTTTATTTGCTTTCCGTCATTGACAAGTGGACTATTTTTAGAATAGGTACAAAAAAAGAAAAGTGAAAAACATTTTGTAAAAATGAAATATTGTTCAAAATAATTATACATCAACTGATCTGACGAGAATCTCAGTATTACAATAAGAACATATTTCAATGGTATTCTGTTTCAAAACTCTTTTTCTCTGTAACCGGAAGCGAGATGTAGGTGAAAATATGGGTTTATGCCTAACTATGCACGGAGAATCAAATTAACTTGCAATGAAGAAAAAAGCATTTCTATCATGTTATAACTTTTCTCGATACTTCAACGAAACCTCTCTAAACTGTGTTTCTCCTTCTTATATCAACAGGTTAGCAGTAACGGCACACAATCTGAAAATGCTCGTGGCGAAGACCCCCATTTCGACAATGCAATATGGTGGTATTCATGTAACGAAGCATTCATCTACAGTCAAATAAACAATATACTACGTTTAGAAAACTTTGAATTATTAATGTCCTATCGTTATTATATTATCGATTTATGTGGAATGATTGAAGAAATATACATTAAGAATAAACCACGACAAAAACATCAAATTGTTTATCGCGCTGATAAAATTAAACAGTCTGATCTTGACGCTATGGAACAGTCAGCAAAAAATAAAGATAAAGGCCAACTTATATCGATAAATGGGTTTATTTCAACAACAACTGATAAAGAAATTGCTGAATTTTATGCTAAGAAGCCATCTATACGTGCTGATTTTGTTCCAATATTATATGAAATAACACTTGATCCAGCCATACCATGTACAGCATTTGCCGATATCGAAAAAATATCGTTTCATCCTGAAGAAAAAGAATTATTATTCAGTATTGGCTCAACATTTTCTGTTGATAGTGTTGTTAAAAATTATAATGAAAATTTTCATCGTATTAAATTGACGGCATGTAATATGAGGGATACCGTGCTGGATGACATGAAATCAAAAGTAAAAAATTCGTCACAATCATCATTAAGCATATTATTAATTAAATATTTAATTGAATTGGATGAACATCGTGCTGCTCGACGATATTTAAAATCAGTATTAGAAGGTCGACTATTAGAAAATGATCCATCATTGGTTTCAGCTTGTAATTGTTTGGGACTTATTTATTCGAAGCAAGGCATACATGGTAGTGCACTTGAACATTATAAGAAAGCATTGAATAGCCAAGCTAGATTAGAATATTCAAATAATAATGCATTAGCTGAAATTTACGATAATATTGGCTATACTTATATTGTTGGATTAATTAATTCTGATGTAGCAATACAAAATTTAAATAAAGCTGAACGGATACAACTGCGTGAACCAGACTTAACGCAGGAACATTTAGCATCAATTTACTGTAATATCGGACAAGCATACTTTGTTAAAAATGATTATGTTAAATCTCTAGAATACTTTGAAAAATCCTACCGTATTTATGAAGATGATAGTAAAAAAAAAGATAAGACATGATGCACTAGAAAATAGATTGATGAAAGCTGATTTATGTGTTCTTTATGGACATTTATTAAGTAAACTAAATAATGATTTTCATGATGCTGAAGTCAAATATGATATGGCATTAATGATTTATAACAATATATTAATAATTACACATCCAAAATTAATGAAAACACATATAGATATATTTATTGAATATGCTAAACATAAAGCCTATACAAAGGTAATAGAAACATATGAAAATAAAGATTTTAAACTATTAACTGATAAATATACAGGGAGCCAACAAAATTTAGCCAATTTACATTTTACTGTTGGTGCATGTTATATTCATGACATGAAATATGATCAAGGAATGAACGTTTGGAAAAATGCTATTCTATATGAAAAGACACAATATTTAGATCAAAATTTATCAGCAACAGCAACTGATTTACCAACTCAGGTAATTAATAGTGCCTATCGAAAAGCTTTTATTTATTATAATAATGAATCAAATGGTGACTTATTTAATCTTGGAATAATAACATCAAAATTATTTAATTATGATCAAGCAATTAAATATCTTTTATCCACTGAATCATTGACTATTGATCAAAATATAATTAGGTTAATTCTTCTTGGTGATATGTATTTAGCTAAAGATCAATTTAATTCTGCAATAATTGAATATAATAAAGCATGTGATCAAATGGGAACAAAAGAAAATCATTATTTACTTAAAATTGCAATAAATTTATTGATTATTCAATATTTAGATGATAATGATAAAAAATTAGATGAATTAATTAAAATAAAAGATAGTTTATTAAATAATGATGATGTTGATTATAATACAATTTCTATGAAAGCAATTATTTATTATGAAATATCAAAATTATATTTAATATTAGAAAAATATGATTATGCACGTTCATATTCTTATAAATCAATTAATTTAAAATCAAATCATTTTTCACATCATCATTTAAATTTAGTAAAAGATTATTTATTAATTGCCAATAGTTATTTTAATGAAAAAAATTATAGTGAATCATTACAATTATATGAACATATAATTGGAATACAAGTTGTTAATCTTCCTCCTAATCATATTGATATAAAAATGAGTTATTATAAAATTGGTGACGTTTATTGTAAAATGGAAAAATTAGAAGAAGCATTAGAAAGATATGAAATTGCATGTTTAGATAATTCACAGTCTTATATGACAATGCATACAAATTTAGTTGAATTATATTGTAAACGAAATGACTATTTAAACGCTACTAGAGAAGAAGAAAAAGTACTTTCTATTTTACGCGAACAATTACCAAAAGATATTGTAAAAATAGCTGAAGATAGAAATAATTCAAATTTATCTCTATCTTTATTTGAAACATTATTTACAAATAGAATAAATATAATAAGTGGTCAAATGTTTGCAATTTTTCTTCAAGATTTAATTTTTATTTATCTTACAATTGGTGATATTTATGTTAAAAAAGAATCAATTAATGATAATAATAATGAAAGAGAATTAAACGAATGTATTACAATGTATGATAAAGCAATTAATCTTCATTTAAAATTAATTATGTATCAAGATGAAAATTTAACTTTTTTAATATATGAAAAACTTGGAAATTTTCATGAAATAAATAATAATTTAGAAAATGCAATTAAAAATTATGACAATGTATTAGAGGAAATTAAAAAGTTTGATAATATATTAGAAGATGTAAAAACGAAGAAGTATGCTTTATATTATAAGCTTGGAAATTTTAGTTCTATAGATAAAAAGTATGCCGATTTAATTAAATATAGGGGTCAAGCATTAACAGAATTATTCTGGTTGGGATCAGACAAAGTAAAACAAACAATTGGAAGAATTATGAGTAGTTTAGAAGAATTTGATAAAAATAACGATGACAAAATTTATGAAGAATTAATTAATAATGGTGTAGAAACGTATTTTAGTTTAGCACAAGCCTATTTTGAATTAAATGATTATAAAAATTCATTAAAATATTTCAAAAAAAATATTGAATTATTATCGACAAATATGATACTTAATGATTTGAATATTCCAAAAAGAAATAAATAGTAAAATGGCAAAATATATTCCAGATTTAATTATTGAAAAATTAAATATAATAAAGACAAAATCATCTTATGTTATTGAAGACAATGATAATAATAAACTTGAATCCTATATAAAATGTGGTAAAATATCAATAATAACAAATAAATATGATGATGCTGTTGAGTATTATTTAAATGCGTTTTATTTATGTGCAACAAAATTAAATAACAATGAAATATTAACAGATAAAGAAATAATAGATGAAATTTGTCAAAAATTAAAACAAGATAATCTAGAACAAAAAGATATCATTAATTATTATTCGAATATTTCCAATCAAGATGCGATAATGATTAATATGAAAATTGGTGCATTAAATAGAAATAATGATAATCATAAGAATGCAATTAAAAATTATGCGGATGCTCTACAATTGTTAGACGAAGGTACAACAGATCAAATTATTGAATCAGCAATTAATTATATTCTATTAAAAGTTTATTTAAAGCCTGCGGAAATTGATGATGATAGTGAGAGAAATAGGAATTCTACTTTTCTTTCTATTAAAAACGATCTCTCATTTTATCAATTGTTTTTGCCATCCAGTTCTATATCTAATGGTGTTGATGACGAGCACATTAAAGAATATCGTAGAGAAATGATTGAAAATATGAGAATTGATAAACATCAACTACCAGTATCTGATCGTATACTCATTTATAGATTAATTATCAGCATAGTTGAAGATGAAATAAGTAAGAAAAAGTATAGTGAGCTATTGTATCGGATATACTTGGAAGAAGAAAATAGAGATTCTTATGCTCAGCCATCCTCCGATAGTCTAAACTGTATTGGGCATGTATTCACAAAAGTTGGTGATTATGAAGCTGCTATTTTATATTGGAATGAAATTAGAGAATTTAAAGAACAAATGTTAGCAACAAAATTTATTGATATGATACATTCACAAAAATCACCATTCATTCAAATATACAATGAAACAAAATTATTAAACAAAAATTTATCAAAATATATTTTATCAATTGCAGATAGTTGTCAAAAATGTGCCAATTATAGTTTAAAACATGGAGATTATTACATTAAATTGGCTAATGAAGAGGAAGAAGATGATAAAATATTTTTGACTCATCGACGTGGAGCCATTGAATGTTATCAAAATGCCAAAAAGTATTATGAATGTGAATTAAATATTTTAATGAAAACAGAAGATAATGGATGGCACGATGAAAGTATTAATCGTAAAAATATTGAACATATAAATAAAAATATTTATGAAAACTTTGCCATTTCCAGTGTAAAACGTGGGGATAAATATAAAAAATTGGCTAGTGATGATAAAGAAGATACAATAATTTATTATTATCAACGTGCTATTCAATGTTATCAATACGCAAGAGATGATTATAATATTTTAATAGAAATTGATGAAATTTATTTTAAACAAATTGAACAGATCAGTGGTTATATTCAAGATACTCTTGAAAAAATTGCCAATCATAGAGTAAAACAGGGTGATAAATTGGCTAATAATAGTGACAAAGAAGAAGATAATCAACTTGCTATTCAATATTATGAAGATGCAAAATTTAACTATAATTGTGTATTAAATATTTTAGTGAAAACAGAAGGACGTGATGAAGTTATTAAGTTTTATCGTACCAATATTGAACAGACTAATAAAAACATTAAACGTATGACTCAGAAAGCATTAGGTAAGAATCTTCTTGTTGCTTAATTAACTTTTTGAAGTGAGAATTTAATTTCTGAATAACTGAGGACTCACGTGAGTTCTCAATTTAAAATTAAATCGTCCTTTCAATTTCAACAGTATTATCTCGGAACTACTATCCATCCCAAAATACAGTGCCGGTGGGCATTTTTTGAATAACTTTTGATAGGAATGAGACAGAGACCTGCGATTTTCGCTGTTCAATAGCCAAGACTTGAGCAAAACTTTTCAGAAGCGGAAGCAACTTTTGAAAAAATTCCAGAGATCGGGTTTCCAGAGGATCTTAGAAAAACTAGCTCCGTTCTCAGAAAACTAACATACAATGTTAGTAATTCTTTTGCATGCGTAGATAGTCCGGACGTTACTCTACAAAATTATGCAAGTCCCGGCTCTCTAGCTATCGTCGTTCCGGCAGGGCTTGCTTTCCCCAAGCACGTGTCTATCTCCGAGAAGACATCTCTGGGAATCTCAAAATGCCATGAACTATAGGTAATCGACTACGCTGAGCATAGTGGCAACATTTGCTTTTGTGTAGAAATGAATATAACTTCGGCAGAGGCATTGTTGTGAAAAACCGGTTTTTCGCCTGTTACTAGCAAAAATTAAAATCCTTATATCTCGATCAAATCTCATGCTGACTCAAGGAAATTTTCAGAC